ACTGCAGCTGAAGATTGGAAACTTGGCTTGTGTAGGCTTTGACCACAACCTCCTTATAGATCTGCTCTGCACACCCACCCTCCTTTTCATCTGCTCCTCACCACCATCAGGAGTGCCCAGAATCAGGCATCCCCCATTATCTCAAGACCATGACCATTCTTAATCCAGCATACATTCTATGTAATTGCTTCAGAAATCAACATTTTGATACTTAAAACCATCTGTGTTTCCCCACTACACAGAGCGTTTATTACTTTTTCCTCTCATTCTGCTGCGTACTCACCTTAGATGCCTTACAAGACAACCTGGATGACTTTCTGTGCCCCACACATTCCCATTGCCTACACTAACCATCCCACTCACCTGTCCCTTTCACAATTGGGGAGTGGCTGTTAGAGAGAGGTGATGACAGATCAGTTCCAGTTGGAAGTGACCTTTCTCTCCTCTCATATAGCTCTCATATTAGGAGTCTCTGGATTTCTCTGATCTAACCTCACGCCAACAAATAATTCATTCTATGGAATAAGTACCCTTTGACTAATGTGACATTACCCTGTATCCTAGTTACTTCTATATGAATCTTAGTCCCCCTCTCCCAGCCCCAGATTACAAATCCTTTGATAGAAGGTAGCATATTTTACAATTCCTTATTATCTGGGGCCTGCCAGTGACTTAGACATGAGAAATGCTCAATATATAGTTGGGAAATGAAAATAAAGAATAGGCTTTCCTCTGGGGAAGCTTCTGTCACTGAAGTTTTTAAATTGGCTAATTGACTCTTTAAATTGGTTAATTGACTTTAGTTGTTGAGGTTCACAGAAGTCACCTGCAGAAATCACAGAACTCAGTATGACCCGGATTGTTTTCTTCAGGGTCCACCTCTTACCTCTGCCTTTCAGTGTGGACGGTGAAGTCATGGGGCCTAAAACTATAAAAGGCACCTTCCCACTGTGTCTGGCTCTCTTTTGGGGGATTTCTTGTCTAACCTCTGCAGGTAGAGGGACTGATTACCTACCAGCCGCTGCTGCCTGGTTTATTGAATCAGGTCTCTCTTGGACCTCAGATAACCAAGAATTCACTTCATTTAATGCTCAGTATGATATTTATTCCTTTATTTTATGTTGCTTTCATGGTATTAATCATAATTCATCTTTTGTACTACTAATAGTTCTCTTTTCGAATTTCATATAGAAAGATATGTTGATCTTTTTTGAAAATTCTATAAAATTTAGATGTAAATTTCAGTCATAAAGACAGATTAACGTGAGGATTGTGAAATATATATTACATTCTGTTTTTGAAAGAGGTTTAATGATATTTCATCATTACACATCTAGAAGGTTGCATGGTTCTTGTTAGTTTAACAGGTTATCTGTTTTTCAGTCCTGGTTAGAATGAGCTATTAGAAGTGGAACAAAATTTTATGACTATAAACACCAAATTATGCCCTTATCTCAAAGTGTCCATTAAAGTTCCATATATTTTAGTGTATAAAGCATATGCATTGATACTTCTAATGACTATTAATACTAAAATTGTATATCTTCTTTTGCCTCTCTTTATTTATTCATGATCTACACAAAAACTCACTTTTAGTACTTCTAAGATCATATTTTTGTCTTTGCATCAATATGAATACTTCCAATGTCATCTAACTTGTAAAAGAATTTTTGCCTATTAGTTTTCAAATAAATTAGATTTACCAATTAATTTAAATTAGTTTATAATTGCTAATTATCATTGGATACTCTTGCAGACTGCATATCTGTGTCCCCTCTAAATTTATATGTTGAAACTCTAGCACCCAATGGGATGGTATTAGGACATGGGGCATTTAGGAGGTAATTAGGTCATTAGGTGGCTCCCTTGTGATGGGATTAGTGTCCTTATAAGAAGAGAAATAGAGCCAGTCTTCTCTCTTTCCACCATATAAGGGTACAAGAGGATGGATATCTGTGAATTAAGAAGAAGGCCCTCACCAGAACAGAGTCATGCTGGCACCTTGATCTCGAACTTCTAGTCCCCAGAACTGTTAGAAATAAATGTTTGTTGCTTAAACCACCCAGTCTATGATATTCTGTTATAGAAGCTCAAACTAAGACAGATACTGATAATGAGAGTTATAATCTGTGACAGTTGTTATAAGTTGTTATGTTAAAAGAAGATGAAACTAAGAAAAATCAATTAAATCATGGTTTTACACATTTTACTATAGCAAAATTCCCTCTCTTATTATGGACCCAGTGGAATTGAAAATAAAAATATGATACATCATGGAAGTTTAGAGCTGAAGGAAAATACAAAGTAGGGAATGGAGGACAGGAAGTTTTGGAGTGAGAGCAATTTTAATTAGAGGGCCTTCCATGTAAAGAAGATAAAACCAAATGTCAGAATAAAAAATGACTTGTCCAGTGTCACAGAAGAATTGATGCCAATGTGAACCCTAGAATAGAGATTTCATACTGGCTGATACAGAGACCTAGAGAACATAGAACTATAGAGATAATTTAATCTAATGTAAAAACTGACAGCTCAGTTATCTGACATGATTTTTTTTTTTTTTTGCTGATTCAAAGTCATATTTACTTATGAATTTAGTTATAGATGGATATAGATGATTCTGCTGTAATTAATTGTAACATCTCAGGTTTTGAACTTGGCCAACAGCAGATCAAATAGGAAAGGGAAGGAGACTTGATCTTCAATCAAATTCACAAGGAATGAAAAGCAAGGCAGGTAACTAAACTAAGAGCTAATTCAATACACAAATGGCAAGTGCTTATTATGTGCTAGTCACCATACTAGGCAAAAAAACAGACATGGTCCTTATCCCCATTCTGATATAGGGCAAAAAAACAAAAAAAGATATTACTGATGGCAGCTCTAGGTTCTGTGGGATGGCCATTTTCAAGACTATGAAGATTTTGTTTCTCTTATTTCTGTATCCAGGACCATATTAGAGTTGGTTGCATTTACTGGAAATAGATAAGTAGCCACATTTACAAGGTGTGATAAAATGACATAAAAACTTACTCTAAATCACCCCCAGCATATTCCAAATGACAATCACACTAGAGCCTTGCTAGACTTTGATCCCTGTGTCTCATACTGGGTGATACTTTATTTGTCTTGTTTCTATGACTTAGCCTGATATCTATGATTAGTTTTTCAGTTAAACTTAAAGGATAGACCTGAATTATAATGAATTTCACATCCTATCATTTAATGCTACAGCAAAATCTAATAATTTGGTATTTAATGCTTAATCATTTCTAGAAAATCATAGTTTTTAAAATAACTATTTGCCCTTCCTCTATTTTCATAAATATATACATATATTTTTATTGGTATAATTTAATTTAGATATTTTGTGGAAAAAAAGAAACATGTTAGAAATACATTATCATCTCAAAAAGAAATGAGAAGTTCCAGCAAGGGAAGAGTTAGCTTCTTAACAGGCAGGAACTGTATCTCTATGGTGTGATACAACCATCACAAGACTAGGTCACATAATGTGTTTTATGGTATCTGGTTTGATCAGTATCTGTATGGCAGTTAACAATCTCATCTTTTTCTGCATATAAATTTCTTAAAGTTGAAAAATTTCCCCAAGCTCCGAAAGAGTTGTAATGCTTTCAACATGTGTTAATTATAACCAACATAGACTCAGTTTTTTTTTTTTTTTTGGTATATTCAAAATTCTCTTGCAACCCTGCTAGTATCTTAATTATTGTCATATAATCATTCAATAAACATTTTTGAGGCTTACTTTGTATGACCCAGGAACCACTCTAAACTCTAAGGATTCAACAGTGTATAAAATAGAAAAGGTAAAATCCCTACCTTCATAGAACTTATATTCTATTGGGAAGACAAATGAAAAAAACATAACTTTTTAAAAGTGAAGTATATAGTATGTTAAATGAGCAAAAAGACAAAAAAGAACAATGAAGAAAAATAAAGCAGTGAAGGAAGACAGGGAATTTGTTTCTTTTTGTTTAGTTTTGGTTTCGGTTTTGCCAGGGAAGTAGGGGGGAGGGGTTGTAATTTTAACTCAGTTGGCCAAAGAAGCTGATAGGAGAAAATGGCATTTTGGTGAACACCTGAAAGAGGTGAGGGAGAAAACCATATAGATATTTGGGGAGAAGAGCTTTCCAGCAGAAGAAACAGCAGGTGCAAAGGCCTTGGGGTGGGAACAAACCTGACCTGTTCCAGAGAGTGGAAAGGAGGCCAGGGTGTTTGAAGCATTCTCTCACAACTGGAATCAATTTTGGAAATTTTATAAGTTCAAACAATAGCCCAAATCCTGTGCTATTGATAACTGGGTAACTCTAGGAGGAAATGAAAGACCAAAGAAAAAATAAGAATGCTAGGCAGGTGCATACAAATACATGACACCTAATACCAGCCTAGGACAGACAGGCACCATAAAGATTCCGTGAGCTAGGATCTGTATAGGTCCTCAGAGTTAACATTAATAAGATGAACTGTATATTTATGTTGTTTTCACTTTTTGAAGCCACTTTGTGTCTCATTTTATCTGATTAAAGTTCTTAGTTGTTGGAGTGGGCAGATACAAACTAGGGAAACATCTCTGTCTATCTCTCTTCACTCTCTCTCTCTCTCCCTCCCTCCTTATTGGGACCAGGCAGATGAGACCTTAACTGGAAGTCTTTTGCGACATGCCTCTTTCTTAAGGAAGCTACAACCTTTCTAGCAGCTCCAGTGGGCTATTGAAGGGGGAGGCGGGGCAGGGAGATTCACCCAGGGGAGCCAGAAGTGCAGCCCTGCATCCAAGCAAGAAAACCAGGGGCCCTGGGAAACGAAGTGGGGAAATGGGTCAAGACCGACAAGGGGGAGGAAAGGGAGCGAGCACCTCCAGGGGCTCGTTTCCCAGGGAGGGTAGAGAAGCTGTGAGGAGGCCGCTAAACTCCTGCCCTGGCAGTTTGCCACCCAAGGGGCTAGGCCAAGGCAGGGCCCGGCAGACAGAGGTCTCTTACTCTCTAGATTTATCCGATCCGTGCGCCGAGTTGATACGGTGCACCTCTTTCTTTTTGCTTTGTTTGGAGGTCATGGCAGAGGCCGACCCAACGCGGCTGAGCTCTGAGCGTGGAGCGTCTGGGCGTCGCGGGCTCCGAGTCCGCGTTGCCAGGAGACCGTTGCGGCGCAGGCGGGGGTGGAGCGTCTGGGTGCTGAGGGCTCCGCGTCTGCGTTGCCTGGAGACCTAGGGCTCAGGCAGGGGCGGCTCCCGTGAGGGGTGGTGGGGTGTAGGGGTGTGACGGACTAGGAGGTGATGGGGGGTTGGGGAGTGATGGGGGGAGGGGAAAGATGGGGGAGGGGTGAATGGATGGGGGAGGGAGTGGTTGGGGGAGGGGCGCGATCTGGGGCTGCAGGCTGTTGCCAGTGGGGACAGGAGCACCTAGAGAGCTCAGGTCACCACATATCGGCGGAAATCTTGAAGATGGTGTCTTGGGAGGATTCCAGGCAGGGGGCATGGATTTGACGGTAGGATTGATGGGCAGCCCCGATGCATTGGTGTTCATCTGTCAGGCTGACTTTGCCTAGCTTTGTCCTTAGGAACCATAGACATATGCTGACTGACTCTTTATTGGATGTCAGCTTTGAATATGGCTATTACACAAGTCCCACCCCAGGTCTTCTCTTGGCTGAACAGAGTAAGTTCCTTCAACAATTACTAAGGACACACTGAATTTACCAATGGCTCTAAAGCCTTGGGTTCAGAAATGAAGATAACGGGTGTAGGGGAAACCCTGAAGGGAAGGCGAGATCACCACACCCTTAGTCACTGAAGGTTAGATGACAATGATGTCTGTGATAACACAAGTAGTGTGCTTTGGTTGTTTATATGAAAGAATAAATCCAAGTCACAGAATCCAGTAGCCCTTGACAGACTCACTAGAAAAGGCACTGGAACCAGAGCCCACACAGAGCCAAGGAAACTGAGAGCTGTTAGGGTTCAAGCTTAAAGCCCAGTGACCCGTGGTGGTATTGCTTAGTTATTCTTGCCTTGGGCTAGGGCTAGGTCTTTCCTTTGAGCCTTAGTTACTCATTTGTAAATAGGAGGTGCTAACACCTAACTCACAGTTCTGTATTGAGAATAAATAACATGTATGTAACATGTTTAGTACACCTCGAAAGCACAACAAATAGGGACCACTCTCAGAGATGACAGCCCACTTGCCTTCAAGGAGCAGATAGACAAGAAGAATCGACGAAGGCGGCCAGCTAAATATAGAGTAGTGGATTCTATGCTTAGCTAAAAAATACTTAGAGTGGGAAAACTTTTAGATTCATCAAAACAAAACAAAATATTATGCTGGTTCTATATAACCTTTCTTCAGAGAGGTTTAACACACAGCCCTGAAGTTTAGGACCCCTGCTACTAGTTGGTCTCTCCCATGAGCCTAGAAATAATTAAGCATCTTTAAATAAAAGAAATACTGTCTGTTCCTGGAACTGGGCACATGCTCACAGAGTCCCACCTGTGCAGGGGAGAAGGTGCTGTCTGCAAAGCAAACCCTTCAACTTCTCTGAAACTGAATGTCCAATCCTCTCCATTCAGCATAACTTATATTTTGTCAGACCATCACAATCTTATTTATTGGAGGTTACATAGATGACAATCAGACTATAACATCATTGTATTTCTATATGGAAAAGAAAGAAATTCAAAGTCAGCAGTGTCAATGTTATGACTGCAAGAGTGCCCTACCAACATCTCCTATTATATAAAGACAGCGATAATATCTTGAGATGTCTTTGTTTATCCCAGGATTGGAACTTCCAGAGGACTCTCCAGAATGAAGTAGAGAACTATGTGAGAAAATATTGTTTAAAACCAAATATTATCAGAGTAATCAAATACATTGCCATAAGCATATACAAAGACTCTTGGGTAAAAATAACATAAGTTTGAACAGCCGACCCCATAGACATCTTGAGCAAGGGCTATCCCTCCAGCCATTGTTAATGGCTGCAAGATGCGAAGACAATTACAGAAGAAAAACCTTAGAAATCAAAATATCTATATCCCATTCATATTTTATAGATTAAGAATCCCAGGCCAAGAGAAGCAAAATGCCAAAAGTTGCAGGGCTACTTATTGATAGTATTTGGACTAAAGACATCAAAGTCAAGAATGCCAGTTTAAGCTAAATAGATCACTACTCCATTTAAAGCCTACTTTCTAAATACCCATTAATTTAGGATTAAATAAGAGGGTTGTCATCAGAATAGAATGAGATAATCATAAAAAAATTGTGGACAGGTATAAATTGCCTATTAATCCTTAGTCCAATGTTCTTTCTCCTTTATTATATTAAGAATGCAGCATGCATAAGTGACATTTCTTTCTGGAGCTAAAGTTCTGGTTTGGCTGTGATTATAACAGGCAAATATATTCTTAATAAAGCTTAAGATGATATTTTTATATGCCAGTGCAAAGAGGACAATTGGTCCTACAGCTGTTTTTTTTTTCTTATTTTAACCCATATTCCTATAATCATGGTTAATATCACTTTAGAATAAAAACATTAGCTGTGATTTATTGACTGCCTATTACATGCAAACTTAAATTGAAATACTGACTGTTGATAGTTGAGTAATCACGAGTAAGTTATTTAACTTCCATTTCCTTTATTTGTGAAAAGGGAAGAATAATATTTCAAATGTGTGTGCTTGACACATCCTAAGCACTTAAAGAATGATAGCTCATGCTGTTATTTCAACAGGTAAAGAAACCGAAATGCAGAGACAAAATGGGACTTGCCTGACACGGAGCAGGTGGTGGGTGGCAGAGGAAGATTGGCCAATCCACAGCCTGTATCCTCTCCAATACTCCAGGGGAACTATCCATGCTGTGATCTTCCAGATGACTGTGCTGGGCCTAAGTTTAGGGATCTCCAAACTCTATTGTTGTTGGATAACTTGCAAAGACTGAGAAACAGGGCTTATATTTTATTAGAGCTACCCAGAGTAGAGCCTCTCTCCAGTCTACACTTCCTTTTTTGGGAAGAGATAGCTGGCTTCAGGCAGCAGTAGCTCCAGCTCCACAGGGAAGTGGTTAGAAATACCCACTTCCCCAAGTTAGCAGAAACAGAACAGGCAGAAGTCTATCTGCTTGGGGACCTGCCTACATGAGGAAGTGAGCTGCGGCAACCACTTCTCCCTCCACCACTGGAAGTCCTGAGTGACTGGAACCCGGTTGGGGCAGGTGGGAGGTGGCCGGTGGGGAGGTTAGAAGGGCAGCATTTTGGTTTCTTAAAGCCATAATTGCAGGCAGCTTCAGACGCTTGATTCCACTGCCACGGGGAATTATATAGAGGGTGCTGTTCAGCCACCTCTTTACAATTAGGTCAATTATAAAGTTGCTTGGAATTTAACCCACCCCATGACAAAGTGTGAATTCTACATGTTCTGTGTAAGGTTAATCTTAACTGTCATTTCAAGTTCTATTCTTTTCACGTTTCCATGGAAATTAATATCCTTCTCCTTTATTTTCCACAGAGCTTTATTTGTTTTTCTTTTAAAATTCCTATAATTTCTGCCTTACTTTTTTCATTACTTGTGTCCTGGCCCCTTGGTTAAATTGAGTTAGCAACTGCTCAGGCAGGATTCACACCCCTGCAATACAGCGCTAGATCCATGCTCTTTCTAACCACATTATCCTGTGTCTGACACTCTCCATGATCACAACCCTATGAGGTGCTGCAATCTGCCCATTTTATGGAGAAGCAAAGTGAACTTTAGAAAGGCACAGTAACTTGCCCAAAGTCCAAAGCACAGAGGGAGTGGAGCCAGAATATGAACATGAGAATTTGGCTTCAGAGTGCAGGCTACAGAGCTCTCTGCTACGCTGCCACCTGCAAACAGATCGCTCACATATTTACTATACAGCATTGAAAGGAGTATGTAAAGCAAAGCTTAGATTCGGTTGTGTCCCCTAATATTCAGTCTCTACACTTGTTATGGAGGATTTGGGTCCTGTAGATACAAAACTGGCTGACCCACCTCATTTTTCTAGGTAAACTTTAACTCAGAGTCTTTAATGGCCTTGGAAAAAAATTTCTGAATAGAAGTTATTTAAAAATGGGGGATAAGGAGATAAAATATTAGTTGAAAAACAATATCCATTTTGATAAGCTGCTTAAAGAAGTAGAAATAGCTTTCCTGACTGCAACAAAACACCTCATCGGGATGCAAACTAACTGCCTTTGGACAATGTTGCAATCATCTCCCGCATCAGATGTGGTGATACTGTTCCAGGTCCCCTTTCTGGACAGAGGCACTCACTCCCTTCCAGCCCCCCACCCCTCGCCACCAGAGGAAGCTGCCTCACCGGACCCAATGTGACCCCCTTGCCCTGAGAGTTACCTGCCTCACACTCCTGTGTGTCAGGAAGGGGATATAATTGGGACAACTCCGAAAGGTGATTCTGTCTCCGGAATTTCCCATATGGTCAGTGAAAACGTCTGATACAACAACACTGCAGTTTAGCTTCTCCTTCTGCCCAATCCTGCTTCCCTTATAGATATTATCACCGACAACACTTGCTAATAAATGTAATGCATGCAGATCTCAGAGTGTCTGAGCCTGATAGTGCCAGAGTCTGGTTCCTGGGAACTAGCTTAGAAGAGTTCTAAGAGTATTAGGGATCATCCCAGGAAGCAGACTGTAAAATAGGATTTGGGAAGACTCTCCCTACCAAACAAGATGAAGTAACAAGGATTGAATTGACCTTTTTGAATGAAATAACTAATAAACTGAATAGAGTATATGAAGACATTGACCAACGGGTAATGAAAGGCAGTAATCTCAGAGAGGTGGAAAAAAAGAAAAGTGAGCCTTTTAATTGTCCCAGCTTACTGCTAGTTCTTGGCATGGTGGTGGTGGTGGGGGACCCCAGGCAGGGCCTGATGGTGTCTCTGGGGAGATATCTGCAGAGACAGACCTGAGGCCCAGGGAGGGTGGGCAGGTAGAGCTCAGAAAGCAGAGTGCCAGGGAGGAGAAGCTACACAGAGCCGAGCATGGAGAAGACGGAGCTGCACAGAGAATAGATCTTTAGAGCAGGCCGTTGGTACTCATCCAAGTGCTGACATTACCTGCATGTGAGGAAATT